GGGTTCCAGGGAACTCAGTTCATCAGAAGAGCAATGCACTTGGATAAACACCACCGGATAGGGGTCAAACTCATACAGTCTCTGTATGAGAGAAACAGTGCCTCTCCTAATTGTCTGGGTACTTTGGAAAGGATAACCAAAAAAAATAAGGATTCAAAGGGACAGTGAACATAGTTTATTCTGATTTCAAAAAGCTTTAGTTCAATGCCCTCCACAAGAGGCTATTACTGCAAATAAATGGCCAGCGGTAAAGGGCATACTACTACCCAGGCTCGATAATTGGTGAAAGCACCAAACCAGCAACAACAACAAACACTTACTCTTCAAGGCAGAGACAACAGAAGTGCATCTGAAACTCAGGAGTGCAACTTGTGCCTTCGGTGTTTAATTCGAGGCAATTAGAGACACTTGACTTTCCGAAGTGAAGGACTTCTTGCCTTACATATAAATTCAAGTCCCTTTGGGCCTTGTCACCTTGGAGGTGGCACTGTATGACCTTTAGGTCTTTATGCATATTTCACCGTTCAGCCTTTATGCAAGGACTTATGTGTATGACTATCTTTAAACATCTGTATAATCTTAATAAGATCACTGGGGCTACTAGGTGCTTTAAGTCATGAAATTAAATCTTTCCAGGATTTCAGTCAGAGATTTTTGGAGGGTGGTATACAGGAAATGCTGGAAGTGGACGATGGCAAAGAATTAGAAGTTACCAGTTCACATAAACTAATGACTCCGGACTAATCACATCAGAAAAATACATTTGAACTGCTGAAAATGAATTCTTAAATAGGTATACTGAAAATTACTAATGGAATCTTTCAGGAGGTAATACAGGTTACTCCAAGAGTTTTCATGCACAAATTTAGGAAATGAAAAGTGAGTATACTTTCAGTTTTTACTTTGAAGTTTTAGAGTCTTACTTGATGAGGACCCTAAATACAACTTTAAAAAGGCAAAACGAAAAAGTGACATGTGAAATTCTCAAATTCGTGACTTCCTGATTCTCCACTTCATCCTATTTTTACAAAAGAAATGGAACACGTAGATACAATGTAGCCAAAAAATGTAGATACAACTTATTTTTCTCTGATTGCATACCAACTTTTCAGTTTCAGAAAGAAATACCTGAGAAGAATGCCTTTTTTTTTTCCAAATAAACACTTCCAGTGAGACAGTAATACTCATTTAAGGTTATTAACACTAAAAATGATATGTGTTACTTTGAAAATCGAATGAGGCACTTCTACTATTCTACATGCTCAGACTTTCTTGAGTGCTTTTCAGTATAGGAAAACACTGTCATAGGATTAAAGTGTGGGAAACATAATTTTCCCATATTTTTGAAGCTTCCTTCAAAAAACTGGAAATTCCCAATGGAATAGTTAGGCTGCCTCTAGTAATTAACTTTGTAGAAGAAAACCAGCTTAGCAGATTTAGCTTCTGGGAAAACCACGCCAAGACACAAGATTAGTTTGGCAAAGAGGCAAGAGGGTCTGTGTGATTCAGATCAGGGGAAAGAAAGGCCAGTGAGTGTTGTAAACAATCAGGATGACTGGGCACTTGAAAAAAAGAATCGACCTAGGTTATCAAAAGATGAATATTATCAAAATAAATCTCTTACTGCTGCCATGAGCTGGCCTACTCCATGTCTCACCATCAGGTTTCAGACTATGTATCTGAAAAAATACAAATGCATTTGAAAAAATACAAATGGCAGTGCTTGAAGTGACTGGTAGTGGAGAGGAGCCTGCTGAAGTTAGGCTTAGTTCAGTTAGCACAGGATTAAATAAATCTCTTACTGCTTAATTCAGCAAAGAAAAAATGTTCAAAAGGAACTGGTCAGAACTGGAAAGGAGAAAACAAAAGCAAAGACAGCACGGCGGGTACAACCATGAGCCAGACTCCTTCTTCTGTACCATCTGATGACTGACCTAGTCCCGTTTAATCACCTGGATAATATTACATCTATTTCAGTTGGAGTGGGTCTAAGGTGATTGCCACAGAATACTCAGTAGATAAAGAATAGGATGGTTGTATAAAATTAAATGAGAAATGTTTGTTCATACAGTTTGAAGTGTATCTGCAAAATTCATTGCTTTAGGGGACTATAGAGTCAAATGTGGTGGCTGGATTAGAGGATGAAAGGAGGAGTATTTTATTACCACTAACAAAATGTGTCATCCAATATGATTTAAAGGAAAAAAAAAAAAGATAATGAAATCTCATGGTTCAGAAGGAAAGTTCCCTGTGGGAGTTTAGGAATAATTCTTCTGTCAAGCTCTGTCATTATGCTATTGGTTAGATACATCATATGTCTCTCTCCAACACTTCCGAAACATTAGTTCCTAGACCCAAATAAAGACAGGTTATTAGTACTATTTTACATATTTGCTGCACTGTGAAGGTACACGGAACTGGAAAAGACAGTTCCTGATCCTCTTCCCTCTGCAATCAATAAGAACTGAACTACTGATTTGTGTCTTGGACTCAAACTTAGCAGCTTTATTGGACATCATTTAAAGATGAGAGCAGGAATTAGAGAAGTTAACTAATCCCTTGTTGCGATGTTATACCATCATGAATGCAAAAGTGAGTATGGCTGCATGAATCATATCAGCTTCAAAGGGTTCGCTGAAGACTCATATTGGTGTGGATAAAAAGCACTGCAGCTCATGCATGACAGCATGGGATTCAGACAGCTGCCATGTATGCCTTTCACGTGATTCACAGCAGAAGAAATGTTCTATATAGAGAATACTGGAGCGGACCTATCCTCAGGAAGCTTTGTGAGGAGTAAGAGTGTGTTAATGGTAAAAAGCACCCTCTGAGAACAGAAAAAGGGTAGTTGTGGCAAGCAAGTTATCCTCCTACATTCTGAAAGGAATGACTATTTAAACAGTTCAGACAAGGACTCCTTTTCTACAGACTTCATTCATTCACATAGATTTTGTTTGTGTGATGTGTGTAAAGACCAGTTGCCTGTACAGTATAGCACCTACTGCACGGAATTCCAAGGGTCAGCACTAATGATTTTAAAGATTTGAAAGCATTGTGCTGCTGTTTTATCAATATAATTTTAGGGGTATGATATTGCTGGGGGTGCAAAGAACTTAAAAATCTAACGAGAACTGAAATAAAAATCTAATATAAAGATCTGTTAAAGGAAGCAGCAGCTCAACCTATTTCAGGGCCTGCTTTGTGGGCATGAGTAGATACAAACAGCATGGAGGGTTTCAAGTTTTGAGAGAGCCTGCAACTTATGGGATGCAGAAATGTGATATCCCTGTGTTCCTGTGTTACAAATAGGATGCTAACATTTCATGAAGGTTCATACAGCTCGTTAGAACTATAGTAATTAATACTGTATCTGCTCAATTGCATGTACATACGAGGAAGACAACCACTGTCTCACGATGCCCACAACCCACTCATAAGTCCAGTTTTACTAAGGAATCATGAGGACACCCCATGAATGGAAGTCCTAAAACATATTATTTCATATTTTAAAAGCAATAAGCCACTTTGAGAAACAGAAAAAAATGGCTGCTGTTTATGGAAGTGACTATATTTTAAGTCTTTTCATAGACTTAATAAAAAAGGTGTGGTATGACTGAGTTGTAAAAGAGTAAAGTTAACATCTATTTTTATTATTGCTATTACATGATTTCTGTTTATATTTGGTTGTTGTGTTCCCCCCTATATTTATTTCATCCTGTTGTTCAGTCAAACTAGAAAATTCTTCACTCATGTAAAATTACTGCTCAAGGAAATTCCTGTTAGGCTCCAAAAGGAGGTTTGCTGGAGCAAGGGATGCAACACTTGACTCAGAGTGTGCATTAGTATCTTTTTTTATTGCTTTGTTCTGCTTTATTCTTTCCACAGCAAGTAAGTAGGATTAAGGGGGCATATCCTGAATGATTGATGATAATTCTGAGCACTGCAACTAAATCTTTTGACTGCCTGGCTTAGAAGTACCTATTAGCCCCATCAGATTCCCTCATATCAATACTCCCACGCTGTTATTTCTGTCTAACACACTGAGATAGTCTAAAATAGTCAAAGGCCAGCTTAAAAAAAAAAAAGTAAGAAAAGAAAGGAACAATTAGCTCAAACTTAATTCTGGGACTAGTTCTGGAAATTTTTAGGAAACATGAAGGAAGGACACCCCCCCCACACACACACACTACTCATCAATATTAGGGATCATTTACTCATTTACTCATCTTGTCAATATTAGGGATCATTTACTCATTCTCTACTCCACTAGAACAGCTTCTTTGTGTTTTGCACATACTGGCATTATCCTACCTATTCTTACTCCATCCCAATTCATTCCTCCATGGTACATTTTCATTAGGAACTAGATTGCATGATCATACTATTTTATTTATCTTTACAGGTAGATACAGAACCAGAAAAATCAGTCTTGTTTAGGTAAAATCAGATATTTTCACAACAGCCCCTGAGCTCAGTGCAGTTGGATGTAAAACTTCAAGACAATGAAAAAGTTTGCAATTTTACCAACAGAGGCATAATGTAATTATCCTCCTTGTCCATTTGGAAAAGTTGGTTTCTTCTCTGAATATGGGAAGAAGATGTTCAATTAGATACATCTACTAATTGACATCTGGTTTTGGATCCATTATTGGAACATACTTTTGTTCGAAAAAACTAATGGATATCAGAATTATTTTTGGCATAGGCCAGTCTACTATTCACTACTGAATTCCATCATTCAAATCTCTGACCAAAGAGATTTAGATTTTCTTTTAGGACTGAAAGAGTATCTCCAACATCTCATCTTAATTCTTTTTCCAGTCACTTCTATATTTTTTAGAAGTTTTATGAACAACAAAAAAATGTTGTTTTGGAAAATTTAAAAAAAAAAAAAAAAAGGAAGCACAATCTCATTTATATTTTCCATGGGTGTTGATAAGGCTGTGAAATTTCAGAACGTTCCTTTAAAGTTTACTCTGTGTGTTACTATAGATACTAACCTTCTTATGCTTCCAAATGTCTGTGCATGTCCTAAAAATCTTCCAAAATCTATGTGGAACATGTGTCCATCACTTGTCAGCATTATATTGTCATTGTGTCGATCACAGACTCCCAGAATGAAGGTAACAACACACCAGCCAGCGCAGGAATAAAAGAAATTCCTTATTGCCTAGTTAGTAAAAACAAAAGCACTTACTGGAAATACACAGACAGGTATTTGTTTGTGACACTAAAAAGAAATACAAAAACTGTAGTTTTACAAATGTTATGCACACTGTTAAATTGTAACAGACAGGTGTTTGTAGGAATAGTACCCAAAGAATAATGCATAAATTTCAAAGTTACAATGCAAGAACAATTTTATGCATGAGGTTTTCACTTTGTGTTTTATGGATACTTGGAATTCTGTGGAAAACTAAGGTGAAATGCATCTAAGAAAAGCAAGCTGCTTGGAAGGAAGCTGACATTTTCTGTTCAATAGCTTGCATTTATATTGTAAAAACAATTGTTTGGAAGTGAGTTGAAAACCCACAAATTTAACCACTTGCTTTGTAAAGAAATGTTATTTTTTTACTATTTTTTCAACCTATAATAATAGGTTATTAATTTGTTAAAGAAATAGGTTACATGGGCCTTTCTTCTCCAGAATTAGGTTGCCTTTCTCAAATCCATATTGCTCAAGTCTCACAGTATTTTAGCCCAAAGAATTCAACCTTATGTTACAGAAATGTACTGAAACAAAAGGCTAAATAATTTTCTGCTCATAGCATCTGCAAATCGGAATAAACTATGGGATCAAACCTAGTGTCATGCAGAGAGGCCTGAGAGCCTGATTAAACCAAAGACCAGTCTAGCAGTTGTGTTTAATATAACCTACTCCTCTAAAGCTCTTTAATGTGCTGGAGATGTGTATTTTCACAGTTAGTCTGCTCTGTGTAGGTAGACTGAGTCCTTCAGATCTCTCTCGTGAATCTCCTTCCAATATTACACTGTGGCACTGCTCTTGGCCAAAAACATGCCCATGGCAGATGTAGGAAAACACACAGACTAATGATCTGCTCAACAGATGTTCATAGGTGCATTGCAAGTTTTGAGCTACTTCAGTGGGAAGTATTTAACAACTGTGATTTCTCCAAGTAGAAGAATCTATCCAATCTCTTTCATAACACACATATTCAATGTGCTCTCTCTAGGGAGAGTTATTCCTGATTCAAATGATGATCACTCTTCTACCCCAAAAGCATAGGGAATAGCTTATGGAGTTTTTTCTATCTTACCTACTACAGTTTCAGAACTGAAAATGCAGCTCTTACTCAGAAGTCTTAACCTCCTGTGAATATCAATCACACTGTGATTCATTTATATAGAAACCTGAACAATCCTCTTCTGTGATCTTTATATTTTTGGGCAAAATCTACATTAGTCATGGCAAATCATTATTTAGGCATTGAGGATTTCCCTGTAGATGCAGGGGCGACCTGCAATGGCTGATAGGGATGACAGCAGTGTGGAAGACTTAAGCCACAGCACAAGAGTTGGCTCAATTTTATGTCTAACTGTACTGCTTACCCACTTCGATGACCTTGGATAAAACACCTAAGCCTTCTGTGATTTTGTTCACCCAAGTGTAAAATAAGGATATTAAAGCTTATTCTGCATGGGGTTTTTGAGTACCTTAGAAACAGTATTGTATAAGTAAAAATTATCAAGGAGTAAAAGAGAAAGGTTCATTCACTAGCAAGTGCAAGGTGAATAGTAATTTTATGCACACCCTACGCAATCAGATCTGACTGTATATGTTTAAAAAATGAACGTAATTGAGTAGAAATTGATTTTAGAATACCCCACATTAATTGTACTTTTTACAAACAGCAGCTTCAAGAAATAAGGTTTTCAATCAATAACTAATACTATCTCACTTTTCAGTTGAAATATTGGCTGTACTTCCACTGTAAACATACAAACTTGTAAAATGAAATTCTATACAGATTGTTCCTGTTTAACTGAATCAAGATAATATACTAGGAATTCAGGTGCTCTTACTGAAAATGCAGATGAACAAACACCTATTGAATAATTACAAAATTACTAAAGTTTACCAAACATATCTATGCTATACATCTACTAATAAACTGTTACAAAAGCACTTAATTTTCAGAGTGGTAAACACTGAAAGGTCCCCTTTAAATTTAAAATTTTGTCTACTAATCTACTGTGGGTATGGAGTAAGGTTCTAAAAATTGTTCCAGCAACACAGACATGTCCCAGCCTCAGAACATGCTCAAACAACAAAGAATTAATAGGAAGAGTTCCTTGAAAAACATCTACTTCTATAAATAAAATGTCCAATTTCTTGGCTCATGCATAATGTCTAGTTTCATGAAATCAGATGCATTACATGGGATCCCACAATGTGATATGAAAAACATGATCTTATGTATCATATGACAAGGTAGTTTTGATAAAACAGTTTTCTAAAACTCTGGGTATTGACATGGAAATTTCCAGATACAGCAAGTCCACCAAGAGCTTGCATGCTTTATATAAAATAGAGTATTTAGAGAGCTGACCTAAAAAATAAGGTCATACAAGGTTTTGAGTTCAGTACTTAATTTCTACTTCAGCTTCTCTTCACTTTACTGCTCAATTTCAAAACATCCCTATGACACATTCTTATAGAAAAGGTATTACAAAGCACCTCATCCAGAGCAATACTTCCTTAGAAAGAGCGCGGCATTTAAGTCAATCCTCTGGCTCCTACGCATGTGACTTGTTTTTCTTGTGTCTGACTCATTTGTTTTTGCTGCTTACTGCCATTTGGTTTCTTTTTTTCCCCAACGGTAAAACATGAAAGGTATAAGCTTCATTATGATATTACCTTTTGGTAACTTGATTCCACAGGATAGTGATGACGGAACCATTTTTTAATTGTGTTTTCCTTCAATGGTCCTATCAGACCAGACTTTCTGTGGATCTTCCCTAGCGTGGTAGCATCTGGCACCATCTGTACCAATCCTAATCAGACAGAACAGAGTTCAAATGAAAAACCTTCAACTTTAAAAAGGTACAAAGGTGATCAGTGCATATTGCTTATTGCTGGATCATTCAACGCAGAAAATATACATGCTTAAAGCTTATACAATAATGAACACAATAGAAAATATACATCAGGAATTTTTTTTCTGTTCCTCTTTGAACACAAAAACCAAAGCACGCTTAGTAAAAAGTGGCAGTTCTGCAAATGAGAAATAAAAGCATCAATAACAATATTGTGGAAATAACAGCCTCAAGTTACCAACGAGGCCCACAGTTTAACAAGATTCAAAGTGGGTGGAATATGTACACAGACAACAGAAATCCATAAAAAATAGGAACAGATATTTATTATTAAATATAAAGTTATTTCACATGTGTTTATTGTTGAGAACGCTACACAGATTTTTCCACAGTACATGATGCTGATCGCAGCTGGGAGGAAGAATACTAGGCAATGCAGAAATTAGTGTGATCCAAGATGACATAAACTGGGACTTTGAAGCACAGAGAGAAGCCAAGCACTTTGCAATGCTTCACTTGAATCCTCTGCCTCTACCACTTGCACTTAATTCCTTTTTGGAACTGTGACCTGGCTTGCCAGCCTTCTGTCCCTGTCCCTGCGTTGTGGTCCCTGGCACGTCATCCCACAGCTCTGCGCTACAGGACAGACAATTTCAGTTGGTGACAGGCTCCTCTACTGTACCATGCCTGGGAAGGGGCATCCTACCAGAGCTTTATTTCCGTGTTCCCAAGACTATGAAATTATCATCTCCTACCTCCCTTGTGTAGAAAAGGTGGCCCACGGAGGAAGTCGTTAGCATAGGACATGGAAGACCTGGGTGCACAAGGCACCTTTAGCAAATGTCCTGTATGACCACGGACATGTCACTCAGGCCTTTTATCCTTCATCGTTAACTGTGAATCAATTATGTTAACACTTCTGTAGCTCATAAGGAAAGACACTGTGAGGAAAAGTCAGACACCAAGGTTTTGGTGCTATGGTGCTGCAAGGAAGAGACTGTGAGGCAAAGAATTTTATTTGCAGATGATCCCTGCATCTTTCTTAGCAAAAACCCAAATTGTTAGTATGTAAGAGAGGTTATAATATTATGTTCATAAATGGTATTCTTGTATTATTTGTCCTCAAAGCAGAAGCCTTTGAGCTTTGACTCCCACCTCTACAATGAAGGGAGGAATCTTTTTCAGGTCACCTTAACCACCCCTCGTGTGCATGTACTCAGCTATAGTTTCTCCTAGCTCCAACGAATCATTCATCCTCTCTCATTTCCTCTCTGTCACTCAGAAAGCAATGAAATTTATTTTGGGGTACTTTTTTTGTACAGCAGGTAATCTGGATACATCAGTCTTCTATTTGTGCAAGGATTATTTTCAGTAAAAGATTTGGAGAGTCAGTAAAAAATAGTAAGCTTATTGCTGTCAGTAAATTTCTTAAGCAAGCAATTGGTATCCCTGCTACAGCTCTGCTGTAACAACCATAAAAGAGAGAAATAAAGCTCTCAGATGAGCCAGGCCTGCCCTCAGCATCATAAATCGCAAGAGTAATATTTCAAAATCAACACTGCGAAGCTGTCATCACTTGTCTCCAGGTACTTCCTGTAGTCATGTGCATTTAGGTTCATTTAAGCATCGATGCAGGACCACGCTGGATTAAAACTGTAGTAGTTGCGGCCAATTTTCTCCAAAGTCCTCTTTTTGATGTGTGAAGTTACTCTTAAGAATATGGTACAAGCCGATTGTGTTGAGATTTGGGGAAGATTCTAGCCTAACTTGCTACAAAATTCAATGGTTTGGGTTAAACTTCTTCTGGAGAGGCAGAATGAATAAGATAAACATTCAGGATTAGGCAAGTATACAATTTAGGGCCTGAGTAACAGAAATTCTGAGCATTTTTTTCAAGGGTAATACAGGTAGCTTCCATAACATAAAACTCACCTTGGCATTTTCCTGTAGATAAACACCTATAAATGATCATTTGCATATCCAGTCCCTCTTGGAGCCAAATGCTGTCCATCACCCGAACGATTTGCAGAACCAGCATATCTTGACGTAGATCATCACCTATCTGTGAAAATTGCACAAGAAATCCAGTTTCTTCTTCAATGCCAGGCAGAGATAACTTCATCTTTCATTTGCATTTTTTCCCTCATCAAAAAAGCTATGCTGATCTGACAGTAAATCCCTCTTGTTTCTCTTCAAAGTTGCTGCTTGTATTTGTGTGTTGGAAGAGGACAGTGTAAATGGCACACATGGGCAGAAACAGTTCTGGCAGCCACTGAGATGGTAACAAGTGCTCCCTGATTAACTACAGGCTTTCTGCTTATTATTCCTATGTAATTATTAGAGTTTGAAAATTTAATCCAGAGGTAGGATCCTAATTTAGTTACACTTTAAACCCTACCTAATGCTAGATCCTTTTTTGCAAATGACAGCATTTGTTTAACATTAAGCTTCACAACTTGGTATTTCCAGCAGGGTGAAGGGGAATTTTATCATGAATTTATATTTTATCCATGACATGATTCATATGCAGTTTCCAACAGTGATGCAGTGTTGACTGCTCTCCCCATGGAGAAATGGGGCTTTAATTGTAGCCACAAGAGGTAATGAAGAGATTATCTTCAACCACAGCTGAGTAAATGGCCTGTGAAAACAAAAGCTCTGCTTTTTTTGTTTCTCCTTCTCCACCCCATCTAAAATACATGTGACTTCTACTGGAATTTGCAAGTGTTTCATTCTTTTATTATGTTCTTTTCCTATAAGCATCTACAGACATTTACTGCTATTAAATGTGTACTTTAGGAGACAAACTCTTTCTTTACATAAAAGAAGTCCTTTTAAAAATTTCCAAATCTATTTTCTTTCATTTAAAGGTGATCTTGACCCTAGAAATTTCTTCTTAATACTTAAACCTGAGAAAAATCTTACTCTCACCACTTACCTTCTCTCCTTCCCCCACATACAGAGTCAGGAGACAATTTAATGCAATATCAGTGCTTATCATTTGATGTTCGCATTATCCATCAGGAGTAAACAATGGAACTATAGTACAAGTAAAGGGTTTGCTGACGGGAGAATGTGATGTCACCTATAATACATCTACAGCAACTGGACAGTTGGTTGTTTGTTGAATGTTACTGGGCAGAGGAAATGCTGTCCAGGTAGAAACAGCACAAATGTTTATCTGCCCCATGCTCAGGCTGCTCGATTAAGTAGGAACCTGTCTATCAAAGGCTAACTTGCAGATGAAACAGTATAAGAACCAGTTTTCTAAAAACATAACATTGCTAGCCTTCCCCTAACATGCCTGGAAAGCATAGCTCTATTCCTGAGAATCACAGCTGCTCTAAAGGTCAATTTAGTTCGAGACAGCCTAGAAAACTCTCTTTTTTATTTTTAAATATATTTTTATCAATTTTTAGGTTTCTGTTTTGGAACATGATACTGCATAATACAACCATTTTATGAAGCTTAGTGTTCTCTAAAAGGTATCCACTGTTCTGGAAGACTTTTGCTCTTTTGAAAGTAACTTTGTTTTTTTAGATTACATGTCTTTTGTGGAGAGACAGAGCACCTGACACAGTCCTGAACTCTGAAGCTTTGAAGGTGACAGCTGGAAAATAAACCAGAGTCTATTTTCAGAGTGAGTTCCTCCAGGCAACTCCAATGAGACAGAGCTCCTCTGTTGTCCCCTCCACCTCCCTCTTCCTCAGCCCATTCCCCCATGCTGGCTGACACACTTGGTCACGGTTACTGGATTCAGTCATTCTGAACTATCCCTTCTCCGAGATTTGCCTTCTGACTCCAGTGTGATAAATAAACCAAGTTTAAAATATAAACTTCGTATTTTTGCCTAGTTGTCCCCACTAAAAAAAACCCCAAAAATGCAAGCAGTTTGATTCTCTACCGATCAAATAGTTCCTACTTCAGTGCCCTGCCTCAGCATATTCCATTAAAAGTTGTAGTGTCAAAAATAATTGGGAAATGTGAACAGAAGAGCCAGATCAAACATTCTCAGGCTCAAGGTTTAAAACATAAATCACGTGAATTTCAAGTCAACATTTTCCATAAAAAAGGAAAATAGAAGATTACAGGAAGAACATACCTTAAAAATAACGTTGATGTTTCCACTTGGAGCATTTGCATTGATGAAACAGATTTTTAACGGAAAAGCATTGGATGTAAAATATGAACATGACTTCAAGGAAAGAGAAAACAACAACAGTGTCACATAAAGAAAATGTCAGGCTAATACAATACTTCCAAAAAAGGTATCATCTTTAACTACTGATCATTATTTAACTTATAATTCTTCATATTATTGATTTCACTCAATAATCAGGATATATGAATGGAAAATATTTCCTGTGCTAACTGTTTTTCATTTTCACCCAAGCCTACTAATGATAAACTTTGGCTGAGACTGAGAGCACAAAGTACATAAGACTGATGAGAATCTAATGAGAATCTGCAAAGCCTTGAAAAGCCTTTGCTCCTATTATTTTCTGGAAAAAAAATGCCCAATCATATAATCTTTATGGAAGAAAAGAACCTGCTAATTTCTTTAGCAACCTCACTCTGTCTGAGGACACAGGAAATACTGAAAATCACAATCTATTTTATGTGGAGTTTATCTTAATTAAACATAAACTCTTGACTTCTCATGCCCTACAGTTCCTTCCACCTAAAGACCTCAGAGGGCTTCAAAAAGCATTAATGAGCCAAGCACTGCAAATGCTGTGTGAGTTCGGGTGGTATTATTATCATCATTAGAAAAAGGTGTGTGTGTGGGGGGAGAATCCATCAAAAAAACCCCAACCAAAGACAATGGTAAATTAATGGCCTGGTTTGTAGAAATAACGAGCACCCCCACAGGAGCTACTGCTATTTTTACTGGGTGGAGTGCCATAGAGGCTAATTTGGACAAAACCACTACCAGACACAGCTGTCTCTTGCTTTACATTTGAACATCTCAAAGCATGGTACAAGCACACAAATATTGTCTTAGCCACATCATACCACTGCGACATGCAATAGCTATTACTGATGATGAAATCCTGACCCCTTAAGGAATTTTGCTGATTGAAATGTCTCAGTAAGTGCTGGAAAAGGTTACTGTGAGATAATGCATTACTGATAGAGCTGGAAGCAGTGCTTGCTACTAGTAAAATCAATAGATGGCACTAAAATGAATTAAATTTAGATAATTGTAAGCACTTAAAATTCTGATTTGCATGATTATACTGACATACAGTTCAATCAAGAAGCTGCATATATTTAGTAAGATAATGGAATATAATGATATAAGAAAAATGAAAAAAAAAAATCTCTTCAGATACTTATATTTAAGCATTTTGTATCTGTCCAGCCAAGCTGGTGCTGTATAAATAGCATGACTGTATGGTGAGATACTTTCCCATTAGCCATTATTTCCAAAAAGCCTGAAAACAGTGAGAAGCAGCAGGTTTCAAATTCTTCTGACTTATATCGTACACAATTGGCCCAAGCCTGTGGGGTGCTGGAAGACCTCTGTTCTCAGCAAGTTCAAGGCTGAATAGCAATTACTTGGAGAATCACAGGTCAAAGGCAATTGAAAGGATCAGCACCTCTTGGAATCAGGTCCACTGTGGATAATGAGCCAGAGAACAGAAATAGAGCACAAATTGCTGTAATTAGGCAGCTATAACAGGTAATATATATGGCTCTTCAGGTTTGTTTTCTGTTGCTGCTGGATAACTTTTCCTTCTGCAGAGCTGGAACAGCTTGTTCCTGGCATAATATTGTTGACAAACACATTTCTAAACAATGACTAACTAAGTCTTACTATGGTGGTCAAAGTGAAGTCAAGAAACACTAAAGAGCTTTGTTGTTTCCTTTATTTTCAAGTAATTTTTAATAGGGATCATAGGCACAGGTAAGTTACTGTGAATATTTAACATTTTAGTAATTCTCACCCTTGTTCCTAGTCTCACAAAAAGCAGAGCTAGCTCGAGAGCTTTAGCTGCTCCCATCCATGACAGGGGAGTGTCTCGGATGAGAAAAACCTGCCACGAAGAGCTACCTGCACAGGACAGTAACCACATCTCCGCTTCAGGGGAGCCAGGTGCCTTTGCCAGACCCACCACCGTGGCAGGGCAGCTGAGCTGGGGGCAGGCTGCTCTGAGGTTGAAACCACTGCTGCTGCTGGGCAGCACGCAACACCCACCGCCCGCCGTCCCCTTCACCTCTGCCTCTGACAAAAGCTCCCGAGTTTCAAGGGAATTGGGCTGAATCGAGCAGATGACTTGTACTTAATACCAGGAAGATTATTTCCCAGTCCATGCAGCCACTCACTGCCTCTCCCTCTCTACACTAAAAAATAAAAGCTAAAAATTAAACCCATAATCCATTGCATGAACTAGACTTACGTCTGCCTCTACGCCTTGGACAACAAGCGCAGGATTCAGGGGAAGTCGGCAAACCTTTACCTCCTGGAAGAACTGCTGAAGCCTGTTGAGTTCCACCTTCAACACCTCCTGCAACATGCAAACCACGATGGCAGCACGAAAGAACACAACCACAGTTTTAAGCTATCTTTCTGTATTTTAAACAAGCAGTACAATTTCTGGAGCTAGTAGCATCCACATAACCTTATAGCAGCTAATGAGATCACACTGAGGTGCAGTTATTAAAAGTCAGAACTGTGATTTTACTCCACATTCATGCATTTGCTGCCTAGATGCACTACCAGTCCATGCTGCCACGTAGGTTCAGATCCAAACCCTTCCTCAGGGGCTGATGGGCCTTGCCCCTGCTCTGCTGCATCTCAGGTCTTTTAGCCTCGCTGGACAACTTGCTGCCTCAGCACCGTGATCTCCCTCGCCTAGCTGTAGGTGTGCTAAGTTCCTCAGTACCATAGTAACTGCAGCCTTGGGATTAAACTCTCAAAACTGAACTATGCATCAGTAATGTATAATGTATCACTACGATTTCTTTTTCTTTACATGGATTTTTCTCTTTGCAAATATTTTTGTCTTTTTACTTCCATGTTTGCTTTGCTGGTCTCAGTAGCAACACGGAGCTTTCTGAAAAAAAAGTCCTTTGAAAATTTTTGAATCCTTAGCAAGGCAAAAAGAATTCAAGATAACTTTCATGATGGTTTGGGTTTTTTTGTTTGGCTTCCTGGTCTGTCTTGCTGAGATCTCAGCAAGCAACAGTTTTACACATCAGGTAAGTAACAACAGCTGTCTTGGAAAATTAAGAGTTTTAAATTGGAAATGTACCTAAGCAATATGAAAGCTGCACCTGCTGGAGAAGATGACTGCAAGCCTTCTACTGCTAGAAATGCATCTCTAGAGATACGCATACAGTACTAATTGCTGAATGCTGTATTTGAGATATTAAGTACAGCCCACTCCGGTTGGCTTTGCAAAGAAAATGTTCAGCCTGTCAAGGATAACTCTTAGCAAAGTTTTCAAGAAACACTTACAGCTCTACAGGAGTCAAATATTTTGTGATGAGGTGCTGAATGACAGCACTTCTTTCAGTAAAATGTTGCCATTATTTTTGATCACCCTCAAGCCTGGTTGAGAAACTGCTGATGAAGGAATTGAAATAACTTAAAGCATCTGCTGGCCTCGAGCATAATAGCAATGAGAGTTGTCCCATTGAATAAAAGTGTTTAACTTGTTTTCGGAGCACCACAAAATTTCACAAATGTTAGTCAAATCTTGGGTTTATGTAAAGGGCATTATAGGATAGAGGTGTCACCTTAGAAAAAATACAATCAGCTGAAAAAACTTAGAAGAGGAGGTATTTTTTAACAAACCTTTCTTTTTGGGTCACTGGCAGCTTTTACTTTTTTGGCAGTGTCTTCCAGAATTCGAATAAGTTTCCCCTCCTTAGAAAACTCATTGTTCAGGGTTTTTCCAGCACAGAATTGGAGAGCAGCCAGTATTTTCTGATACCAGATTTTGAAATGAACTTCATTCTGTGCATTCTTCAACAGCCTGAAGGAAGAAGGGGAAAAAACTGTGTATCTCAAACTGATTTTTATTTTATATCACCTCTAGCAGGAACAATAAGTGCACTCCAGACTAATCTGTATTTGGTGACTTTGGGCAGCTGAGAATGAAAAAAATGTTGTTTGTTTGTTGGCAGTACTCAAGTTCCATTTGATAACTAATGAGATTCCAAGTGTGTTGAATCAATAGGAACCTGCCATTTCTTATTGTCATACATAGTGCAGGGCCTGTATTGCTTCTTATTTCTGCAAGAAAAGTTTGCAAAGTGAAAATAAGCTGTATTTTGTGAAGTACAGTCTTAAATAGATATCCTTAATTTTCTTCTTTTTTTTTTTTCCTCCTGCCAGGGAACTTACACAACCCAGTACATATTTCAGCTAGGAGGTGCATTTAAAGATCATATTAGTACCAGACATATCATCAGTTCTAGAAACTTTAACTATTTTAAGTTGAGGAGAGATTTCTGAAATTGGCTATATTGTTAAAAAGGGCGAAATGATCCCACTTTATTCCTTTCTTTACTGGTAAGTGTTAGTCTACAGCAAAAACTCAGGTCAGTTGGTAAAAGCTTTGGAACTGGAGCTATTACCAACACGAAAGTCAGAAATAAAACCAAACCCATACTTTTCATGTTCACCATGGAGTCTTCTGTAATTGCACATTCATTTTGCCAGGAAAGATGTGGAGTTTAGGGATTTTTTTAGTTAATTGAATTGATCACTGGGAAACTTTTTCCTTATGTGTGCCAGAGGTTTTGTACACATTTGATTTATTTTTATAACCATAGATGGAATCACCAGCTTTATATTGCTGCTAAAATCCTGCCCACCACTTGTGATTTCCCCATGCCTGAAGGACTGATGAAATGCTCTTTGCTTTTGTCTGAACTTTTCTCCTCAAAACTTCATCCTTAAGAATATCTCAAACCTTAAATTCCTTATAAACGTCTGAATCTTAATGCAGTTTCCGTTACCTGATGAGATTAGAGAAACATAACAAATGCTAGTTTTCACACGACAGAAATCAGAGAAGCTGTTGACTTTCAAGGCACATCACAGATGACTATGTCCCATAACATAAAGCAAGAACAAGACATTTAAAGGTAAAAAATTGTAATTCCTATAGACACTTCAGCTCCTTCAAATCGTATATAAGGCATTACCAAATTGCTGCCACAGCCCATGCATCTGTTTATGACAAGGGATTCTTGTCATCTTTTACAAAGCAAGGAACCTTCTAGGACCTCTTTTCCTATATAATTCAATGCAGAAGAATATCACCTACTGGTTTCTGAAAAGCCTTTCCAGTTACACAAAATCTCTGAAGATCTAAGAGTTTACAAGTACCGAAAAACTTAAAAGAATGAGTGGTGTTTCTATCAGAAATGCCTAGGCATGAAAGGGAAGAGATATGATTATCATCAGCACTCAGGAGGAGATTGAAATGACATTTCTCTCTGTAGACTAGTAAAAACAAATAATTACTTTTTATATTTGAAAGAAATACAAATTGTCATTGCAGTGCCTGGTGGAAGGCAAACCCCAGGACATACAGGCAGCTGTGTTCTTATCCTGAACCCTCCACAAATTGAAGAAGGCTGAGAACACATGCATATATAGCACTGGATAAATTAATTCTTCCAGATTTCAAGCAAAGTCAAAGATTCCAAAGGAGAGGATTAATTTGCTCAAATGTAGATACCTCATGCTACTTTAGATATCCTAGGAAATCCTCTTTGGCTTTGAGCTGCTGCCTTGGGAGGACTGGGGTCCACCAGAGGTGATATCTCATGTGTGCCACTCCCATGTAGATATCTCAGATGTCGCATGCTGTCTAAAATAGCCTGTGTTTAGGGTATTGAATCACACTCTGCAGTGGCTTTTTAGCCCAGTCGTAAGCAAACAGGGTGATTTAAAACAAAAACATATTCTGTCCACTTCAACAGCAAGTTGGAAACAGGTTTGGTGATTATTTGTTAAACAAAAGCATTACTGGCAGATTCCAAACGGTCACATGGGCAGGAGTTCTAGTCTACTGAAGCAGAGCCCAGGTCAGTCTCAGTCCAGCTGAACAGCTTGCATTTTTCTTGGAGCAGAGTCAGAATGAAATTGTTCATTTTCTGCCCTGCAAAGTACAAGCCAACCTAAGAAACGACATCACTGTGATACATGATTTGAACTGGCCAGGTTATGTTGGTGCAGAATCTCCTGTCTGCACTTAGGCTGGCATTAGAATCACTTCCTAGGCATCTAAATCAGCCCCTCCATATTTAGGGAATCCAGAACAGCTACCTCTTCATGCTTGAGATGACCCTTTAATCCCCTCAGATACAGAGAACATTAAAACAACTTTTATTTCTCTAAAATGAAAGGCTTCGGATTTCCTGTACAGGAAGCAAACTAGCAAGACCAAAATATTTTCTATTTTAAACAGAACTACTCCCTGTATAAGGCAGATCAACTTAGAAGATCAATTTTTTGATTATTCTTATGTCTGAGCGTTCACAGAAAATAAGCTTATATACACACACAATATAAAGATTTCTTTTTGACCTGAGCAAGGATTATGGGCCAGATTCAGATAGCTTCTGCATAAAGTGTACATGAGGACAGAGGATGTGTAGAGTCTGAATCCTCTCACATGTGCTTCTTGAGCCCAGTCCATGGGGAAAGTTGAGGCACTCATCATGATCTCACCGGTAAAAATCCATTTCCGTGCCAGCTGCAGCCCAACACACTCCAGTCGGAACCCACATGGCAGCTTTCGACAGGGCATGTGCTTCCCCATGAGGGGCTCGGGGCTCTGCACTCAACACATGTCGAGCGACTGCGGCGCAGGCAGCGCAGCTTCCTTCTGCCTGCCCACGGGGGTAGGTAGGCTTTTAAAAGCCTGTAGACCTTAATTTGCAAAATGACTTGGATTAACTGGGTCTGACTTTTATATTCATTCTATAAAAGCAGTCCCGAGGAGGATACAAAGGACAGCTCTTAATGTGATGACTCATTGTAGGCTTTGCTGAAATGTTTATTCAACAACTGAACAAATATATGCCGTTGTAATTCTGTCTTCCCGGCTTCCTGGTGCACACATCTTCACCCTGCCACTGAGAGAACCCAGCGGAGACGGCAAACTCCGCAGCTCCTGAGGCTGCAGGATGGAGAAATGCTCAAGATACTCATGAAATTTTCAAGTTAGAACAGGATGCCTAGCTGTGACAGAGGAAGACAAAATTGGAATGATCTAAAACTCTAGGCTGCCAGTAGGGAAGTATGTGAAGGTTTTTGGGGGGCGGGGTTGTGTTTTGGTTTTTTGGGTTTTTTTCCTGACTATTTTCACAGGATTCTGCAAGACAGAACTCAATATAAAAGCTTGGTTTTATGCCAGGCCTAGACAGAGGATCTTGTGCCTAACAGGGAGACTTCCTCACTACTCTTGTTCTCTGATTTGCGAGAAACACCCTCATTCTCAGCAAGGTCATGGAAATTCAGACACTGTCCCAAAGCCACTTTTGCAAAATAGCACAACAGGGCTGGAAACAGAAGGAGGCTGACCTGAAATTTAGCAATGAAGCAAACTAGACTGCCTCTGCTTAGCAGCAGTTGGAGGGTCCAAGTGAGATTCTGGGGTGCCCTGAAAGATGCCCCCAACTCCTGCAAGCAGCTGCTTCTCTTCCTTTCGGCATGCGCCCACTCCAGGCCTGCAAGGCAGCTCCAACCCCATGTTCTGGCACTCACACCTGCAGAAGTGCATGTGTTTTCTGGGTACACGCACACGTGTGCTGGAGAGATTTCTGCCACAGGGCAGAAGGGAAGGTGGGATTGAATCCAGCTGAGTTGGCTGCCATGTCAGAGAAAGAGAAACAGGGCTGCAACCAGCAGCTATGGAGAAAAGGGAAATTAAAAAAAAAAAAAAGGAATGAAATTGGATGGATCTTGGTACCAAAACAGGTGAGCAGGCTTCGTTCTCCTTCTGTGGTGTGGGGAAAGAGGGAAGCTGATGCTCTAAAGGCCTGGGAGCAGACACAGTCTGTTCTCGGAGATGGATTTGGCAGACAAGGGGAAGAGTGAGGCTGCTCAGACAACTCTGCTGCTTGAACATCTGCTCCTTGTCTCCTTCAGAAAGGGGAGCGGGGTGAACCAGAGAGTAATGCCTGACAGAACAGATTACCCCGCCGGTACCCTGTTAAACTGCACTATAGCAAAAGAAAACCAAGGAAAGGCCAGGATCTCCAGTATCTTATAGCATGTTTAACTCCTGCCTGTGATGAAAGAGCAAGGCACAGTTTGACTGGGTTATTTACATTTTGTGTCATCAAAGTCAGAGCAGTGACCCTAGCTAATTCGTTTCCAAGTGGTGTCTGGTATTTATCACACAAAAGCTGTGCCTATTGAGCACACACACTGTGTACTCTTTGCTTAAGGTGTTTTGAATTCAGAGACACACCATGAAAATGAGGTGCCCGTAGGGTTTTTAAGCTGAGTGCTGAGGTCCTTACTGTCGATGGTCAATCGCTGACCAAGGAAGTCAATATGCTTTATTGTGAAGATACATTTCATGCTTTTTTTCTGTTTCACTAAGCCATGGGCAGGACAAGTCACAGAAGAAGAGAACATTAGTACAAGACAGCTGCTCATTATAGTGATAATTGTTTTAAAATGATCCTCCCCAGCCCTTTGTATCAAAGATTAGCACACAAACACACTTCTCTACCACTGCACAGCTTCCACATCCGAGGTCGCCATCCATCTGGATTTTCACCAGACATCCCGCAACCCTCCTAAGCTGGCCTTTGTGCTTTACTGTGCCATGGGGTTATGGCACACACCTGAAGCATGACTGATTTAATTTTAAACTCCTTGAAGAAAGTATTTTACTGTTTGCATTCTTAAACAGGAGAATAAGTAACAGGGGTCGTTTGCCAGTGGGGTTGCGTTTGGACTTTGCAGCTTCTTAAGCCCCACTCTAAGTTACCCACAGAGACAAGG